AATTATCTCCCTTTGTCTACCCTTTTGCTAATACTGACTTGTTCATCAATAAGATTTACTGATGAGTCACATTCAACTCTAAAAAGGCTTCTGATGTCATCTTCTGTAAAGATGCTTTTTTTCAGATTGGCCCCCAATTTGTACTGTAGGATGGGGTTATTCCACCCCAGCCTCAGCATTTCATATATTTGCTCTTACTGAAACTCTGAAAATTCCCATTAACCCTTTTCTTCAGTCTGTTGAGAGCTCTCTACATGGCAGCCCTCCCCTCCAGTGTATGGACCACCTTCCCCACCCATTTGAAACTGTCCATGAATTTGCTGTGGAGTACTCCATCCCACTGTCCATTGTTAATAAACAAAGTTGGCACCAATATTTACCTCCAAATGAGTAATGAGGGGGACAGTGAAGAGGTACATAAAGAAGAGGGAAGATGTGCTTTACATGCACAAATTTGTGCCAGAGGGACTCTGGGAAGAGGAATCATACTGATAGCAATCTGAGGTCCCTTGAGTGCAAATGAGGAAACCAAAAGTGTAGGCACCAAAGCCAGGATTTGGCTCAGCTACACCAGAAGAAGCTGGGAAAAAGGGGAGATGGTGCTGTTTTTATTGTGTGAAAATACCAAAGAGGATGATGAGCTGCAGGATGTGATCATTCCAACTCTGGAACACCAACTCCTTAATATTCATGTAAAGGACAGGAACAGCAGAAGGAAGGGAAGAATTTGGGGAGAATTTCCAGGATGCACTGAGAACCTTTCACAGAACGACTGAGGTTGTAAGAGATCTCTGGAAATCATCTAGCCCAACTTCATTTCTGAAAGCATAAGCCTTGTCCAGAAAGATTTTGAATAGCTCCAACAATGAAAACTGCAACCTCCCTAGACAACCTGTGACCACGATTGATCATACACAAAGTAAGGGTAACGTTAAGTTTTTCTTATGTTTAATTGGAATTTCCTGTATTTTTACTTATGTCCATTGCTGCTTGTCATTTCACTAGATGCCACCAAGAATTTGGTTCTATATTCCTTGCTCTACTCCCACCATCAGATATTTATACAAGCCACTAGATTTTGACTCTACAAACCTTCTCTTCTTGAGGCTAAATAATTTCAGATTTCTCTCTCTCTTTACATGTCAGATGCTCTAATCCCTTAATCATATGCGTGGCCCTTATGCCACTGGTAGCAACCCTTTGAGCTCAGAAGTTCAGGCAGTTTCTCTCATTAGGAAGCAAATTGTTTCACTGCAGAACTTGGTTAGACTTTATATCTCTTTGGAAGTCAATGTGAACAACTGCCAATTACCTTCATATTATTGAAAATAATTTCCATAAGGATTTGTTCCATCACCTTTCCCAGAATCAATGCCAGGCAGACTAGTCTGTTGTTTCTTGGATCCTCTTTCTTGCTCTTCTTGAGATTTGCTCTTTCCTAGCCCTTAGGAAGGACTAAGGATCATTATGGCATTCCAAAGAAAACTGAGAGTAGTGTTGCAACTGCATCATCTGGCTCCTTCAGTATTTGTGGCTGCATGACAGCAGGTCCCATGCATGAATATATGTCCAGTCTGTTCAGATGTTCCCTGACAAAGGCTTTCAGAGAGACCTTTTGGATCTGGAAGTAGGAAAGATACTTCTGACAAGAAACTTGAGAACCATGAGAATATATAACACAGAGACATGGGAATTAATTTTGCTTTTTCTTATGGGTGGCTCTGCTCTTTAGAGTTCCCAGACAACCCAATCCCACAGTTTGCAAAGTAGGATTTTCTGTGATCACTTCAATCTTGCTCACTTCATTCTCCAAGCAGAGAAGAAACTGCCCACAATCGCTTCTGCTGCACAGTATAATTAGACACAAGATTTTTTTCTTCAGAAAAGTCTTTGCCCAAAACTGGGAGCAGAGATAAGAGAGCCTACACAAAGAAGCCATTTCCTACATGAATGTTATTCACTAGGGTTGAGTTGAACAGAAATACCCTCTCCTGGCATTGAACAAGGTTGATAGTAAGTAATACCTGCATCCTTTTCTTAGGGTGCTGCAATGAACAGTAGGAAAGGAGTGCACCAAGCTGTTGGAAAGCCTCTTTTCCCCAAATGTAGAATTAACTTTTCTATTGAAATCTTAGATTGACAGAGTTCAGTGCAGATATGGTATGTACACTAGGACACAGAAAAACTATACTAAACGCAAGCAAAGTAGCGTGAGGAACAAAGTTTAGTCACTAAAACAATGTCCAGGGAGCAGTCATTTGTATCATACTTGGGAAACTACACTGGTGTTGGCAGCCTTCTGATCTTGACATTATCTAATTCTCTGATTTTGTCTCATTGTGTTTCAGCTGTTTGTCTCAGACCTTGATGTCATTATGATATGCTATGTTTAATGGTACATGACTCTCTCAGCCTAGGAAAGGTCTAGGTCTATATACCTAGCAAAGATTTATATTTTACACATAAAGCATTGCCAGCATCTTTTCATAAAAAAAAGGGGAAAAAAAAAGGAAAAAAAAAAGAAAAAGAAAAGAAAAAGAAATGTATTTTGCAACAGGTAAGGTGATAATCTGCTCTTATTTCTATCCTGTTTGTAAAGCAAGACAGCACAGAAAGGCTATATGGCCACAGTCGTGTTTTTTGATCACATCAATATGAATATCATGGCTGGAAAAAAATGTCCCTACTTTTGGAAAATTGCTTCATTCTTGAAGCTTCGCCTTCATGGTAGTGAAATACCCTCAGTGATTCACCAGATGTTATTCAATCTTTTAACTCAGAAAAAAATAACATTTTTTATCTCAAAGGTGAGGTCAGCCAGAATCTTGACACTTATCTGCCTGACACTCCCTTAGAATATAAGAAACTCATAATCAGGAAAAATTCTTCTTAAAATGAGCAGTCAGGCACTGGAATGGGCTTCCCACAGAGATGGTAGAGTCACTGTCACTGCAGGTGTCTAAGAAACATATAGATGTGGTATTGAAGGACATGGATTAGTGGGAAATATTGGTGATAGGTGAACAGTTGGACTAGATGATTTCAGAGGTCCTTTCTAACCTTAATGATTCTATGATTTTATGATTTTAAATCCATCCTTTGCTGCTTTTGGCTTTCCGTTGTACTAGTTTGGGTTGAGATAGAGTTAATATTCTTCATCAAAGCTTGTATGGTGCTATGCTTTAGATTTGTGATCAGAAGAGTGGTCATAATATACTAATGTTTCAGTTGTTTCTTAACAGCGCTTACACAGCACCGAAGTCTTTTCTGTTTCTCTCACCATCCTTCCAGCATGAAGGTTGGGGGTGCACAAGAAGCTGGCAGGGAAAACAGCCAGTATAGGTGATCCAAACTGGCAAGGGAGATTTATATACTGTAAAACACCATATTCAGCTGTTAAAGCTAGATGAAAGGAGGAGGAATGGGGCTGCAGGGAGATGTAAGATGATGACATTATCTTCCCAAGAAACTGATATGCATGGTATGCGCTGCTGTACTGGATACATCTGCCTGCCAGTGAAATTAATTCCTCATCTTGCTTTGCTTTGTGAACACAGCTTTTGCTTTACCCGTCAAACTGTCTTTCATACATTTTAGACATTTTATCTCAACCTACAAGTTCTCATGCTTCTGCCCTTCCCTTTCTCTTCCACATCACATTGCAGACAATTGAGCAAGAAGCTGTGTGGTTCTTGGCTGACTACTGAGGTTAATCCACAACAGTTGCTCAATGAAAATCCTTCACAACAGGACATACTTTACAGACCTTGCACAATATTACAACGTTTGATATAGGTTATTTTTTTTTTTTAGCAATAAGGATTAGTACATTAGTTTAAGAACCAGTATATTAGTTTAGCAAAATGAATTAATAAGTGATAGTTCTAAAACTTTCCATGTCAGCTTTAGTGGGTGAACAGTCTTGTTTTTCCTCAATAATTTTGCACTGGGGACATAATAGAACACTTTTATCTTCTGTCTCAATGATTCTGCCTCACAAGAAGTACTAGAGTCATAATAGAATACTTCTATCTTTTGCTTCAGAATGTGCAAGGACATTTTCATTGGGTTCCACATACACTGATTTTTAAAAGTGGCTCACTGTGGTCTAATAAGCAATGGAAATCTTCCAAAATGGGGAAAAGTGGATGGAAGTGAGCCAAAGGCTTCAGTAATTAAGCTGACGGTGAAAAAAGGGGAAGAAGCAAGTGGGCACTCAAGTACCCTAGATACCACTGAACAAAGGCTTCAGCCCAAAGGGATATTAGCACATATTTATGAGTCCTTGAAAAAGAATGAATGTGTATGCCAGTGTACTGCATATACATGTATTAGCTGCTCAAATGTAGAACCTGAACTCTGAGAGGGTGTACTTTCTTGTCAAGCCACCTGGTATGTTATTGTATTGTGAGGAATAAAGGAATGCTGCTTTCTAACACCACACTGGAGATGGAGAGTTTTCTTCCCAGATTACAGATGACACAGTGACCTATCTGGAAGCTTCCAGCACAGTTTCCAAAGACTGCAGCTTACATTTATGGATTGGTCAGTGACAGTCTTCCACTCAGCAGCTCTCATCCTAGAGCTTTTCCCTTAAAGGACCCCTTGAAGGGGTAAGGCACATATATGACTATGTCCTCTTACCTTCCTAGAGCTGCTGCCACTTCTAGAACTTGATTGTAGGGTAAAGCTGCCCATAGAGTGTTCATTTTTCAAATTCTGAAGGTCCACTTGATGGATAATGCACTAGGCTGCAGCTTTTATTGTTATTTTCATTACATAATTTTCTTAAAGCTGCCATTTTTACTGTCTTACCTATTGATAACACAGTATGAGTTCATTAAAATGCTACGTGCAAAGAATATATATACAGGCGCCTAAGGAAAATTATGGGATGTGAAAAATCCTTTGCAGAGAGGAAGCCCCTTCCTATCCACAAGTACAGCCAATAATTAAAAGAACACTTCAGAAGGTAGTTAAAAGACTGCTAAAGAACCTACAACTGACAAACCACTGCCACACAGCTGCTCCAGGAAGACCGGCCCACACAGCCGGCTCGCCACACAGCGCCACTCACTGCTCTGTCTCTTCGTGGCACGATACAAGATCAAACACAACCGCTGCCTTGCCTCTCACTTCAACCCCGCCTACTCCGCTAAAAATTTGCATACCAGGCCTCGCCTCTCTATGTGACGATGCGATATAGCGTTGCCAGTAACAACTGTTGCCCCTCCCTTTTCTTCTGCCATCGGTAACGGAAGCGTCCGGAGTGTAAGCAGTGACGTGACCTGCACTGCTACGCTTGGGCTGCTTCCTTCACCCCCGCCTCCTCCCCCAACACATACACTCCTCCCCACTCTCCGGCCAACATGTGGGGAGCGAGTTCGGGGTGGGCGGCAGATGCGGTGAGTGCGCGCGGGAGGGGGACGAGGGAAATGGCCGCTCCTTTCCATATGCTCCTCACCCGCCTCCTCGCTACGCGCTGCCGTTTCCTGGCCGGCCCCGCCTCGTCCATCATACCCGCCGCAGGCGTGGGGAGCGACAGCGTTGCAACATCGGGGAAGAGGGGATGGTGGAATAGGCCGCCATCTTCTCCATTTTTGGGGGGAACACGGGAGACAAATGGGGAGATAGTGGTGCCGTGTATGGGTTAATGCTTTCCCCCTTTCAGCAGTGCCCCTCTGTACTATAACGGGAGAAATGGTGATATAGCTCTGGAGGTTATCACGTGTTGTTCCCTGTACTTGTGCTAGTGCAGTTCTTCCTTCTCACTTCCACTTCCCAGCCCTGTACTCTTATTTAATTATAAGTCACCTGATCACGTACCATGTTTCCTAAGAGGCCATAGGCCATGGTGCATGTGTTCACATCAGGGCATTAGATAATGTTTGTAGGCAAAGCAGCCTTCAACAATAAAGTATAATCTGCCAAAAGGATACCACAAGAAAGCAGCCCATCTAGATGCCCCTTAAAACATGCTTATTCAAACTTAAAAGAACTAATAGGTAAATTAGGTTAGCAGTAATAATAAATCCACACTAGTCGTAGCACAACACACAAATGAGTTCTCTTTAGAAGGAGAATTTTGTTGTCAAAAGTAGTAGTGTTGCCTTTAGGATGTTTATAGTAAATCTGGGACCATTTTTGAAGTTGATATTAATGGGAATCGACTTTTGTTAGAAATAGCATTGCTAATAAAATTCTCATTATTGCATCTTTGATAGTTGACATCCTGTCATCCAGAAAGTCTGCTGATATATTTCTGTTCATGATGTATGCGTTCATAGTTTTTGGACAAAAAGTTATATGTGCCCTATAAATTGTGTGTACATGGTGGTTACATTCATCAGTAAGCCAAGTAATTTTCTTCAAGCATTTTGTATTTATGTCATTTCTGAGAACAGCCCTTTTGTTGTGTTTATGGATTTGGGTCATTCTTCCTTACTTAGAAGTATCTGGAATCTAACTTGTTTACCTAGTATTTCCTGTCTAAAGGTAGTGCCTATGGTCTGAATTTTTAAAGTTGTGGGAATACTTCTATCTTTCATCACTAGTTTATTCTGGAAGCTGTGTTCCTTCCAGATGCATAAAATTGTGTTGATGGGACATAGGTGAATGTGTCTTCACTGTTCATAACTTATTTGAAAGCCAGTACTGATTTGAATGATTAAATTCAAGGCCCTGAACTGACATTAGCATGTAGCTGCAATCTGACAGTTTCGGCAGAAACATGAGGAAACTAAAGATTACCCAAAAAGCCTGAATTGCGTTCCTCTTAGCTGTAAAAATGTGTGTAGACTACAGTACATCAGCCTGTAGAAGAGAACAGGGCCAAATATTCATGTAATCAGAAGAATCAAGTTGAAGGTGGAAGTTGATCATCAAAAGATCTTGGCCAATTGTGCTTTAATACCAAGTGAATGTAGGCTCTATGGCTTTGTATTGTAGTGAAGAATGGAACAGAGAGTGGTTTTCTTACTCTTACAAAATATTTTTGCCACATAGCTGATGTACCTTTAGTATACTTTTGCTTAAACTTGAGGTAGCTGTCCCTATAGGTAGATTTGCATGCTTCCACTTGTAGATCTGCTCACAAATTCTGCATATTAGAGACGTTGTGAGAAGATCTGTCTCTGATTCCCCTGGTATCTGTTTATGTTTTTATAGCCCTTTGAAGCTTATGACGATAAACAGTCATTCCTCATTTGAGATGCAGACTTCAGCTGTTTCCATGAGGAGGTTTCTAGGATTGTTTCTGCAAGAACCACAGAGAGCAAATAAGGCAGTGTGGTGCTAGCAGTTTTCTGCTCAACTCAACTCCTGCCTCAGCAGCACTGCCCAGTTGGTGTCTACTTGTAGATTCTAGTGTATGCATTCTTCAGATCGCTCTGTACCTTTCTCTGTGTTGAAGCGTTCAGGAAAGAACTAAAGCATTCAGGATATTAACTGTACTTTATGTAACCTATTTGTACTAGAGTGCATTGTTCTACTTCTTGAAATAAAAAGTTAAGTTGAGGAAACTGTTGGGAAGAGTGCCAGTTGTGGTTAAGCAGTTTGTCCAGATGAATTGCTAGTACTTTCTGGGAGGAGGTTATACTTCTTCCTCTGAAAGTTCCCCCAGTGCTTCATATTTTGATGTTTGGTGGGGGGGGAAGGGGCTTCAAGGATGGGGCTGGTATGTTAAGCTATATACGTAATTAAAGTCAAGTGCTTTCAGGGTTTTCAGAATTTTATTGTTGAATGAGAAAGGGAAGTGGCTAGGATTATTCTAAAGGTATACTGGCATAGCTGTTGGTAGGCATGAACTTGCCTAGCTGCTTTTTAAACTCACATAAACTTGCAATATCCACAGCATGCCATCTCTCTTATGAAGAAGTTTCTCTTTAGATTGTTGTGAACTAAACACATGCAAACTTTGATGCATGTCTTTTCATTTAGAAAGAAAATGTCATCAGTTATTCTCTACTCAGTTTTGTCATAATTTTATAGACCTGTGTTGTAACTTTTCCCCTGTCCTTTTTTCCCCTTATCCTGAAGAACCCTAACTGTGGTGGTAATAGTGTGTGTGAAAGCCTCTGTTTTTTTCCATGTGAACCACCGTACCAGAACAGAGTGCCAGGTAATTTTGTTGTATCTTTTTTTAAGTTAAGCAGTGTTGAGGAGCAGTGCACCATGGACTCTAGTCTCTTATTTTTTTTTTGTAACATCTCTTAACATCCGTTATGATCTGTTTTTGCATGGTGAGTATCTAGTAGATGTTTTTATCGAACTATCATGTAACCCCAACACCTTATTCATAAGTAGTACCTTTGGCCCCGTTACATTATAAGAATAGCTTGTCCATAGGGTTATCAGTATAAAATGTAGCACCTTTCTTTGATATGTTAAAGCATATAGCTCTCTTCTGGCTGGGCATGCTTATGAACATATGAGAAAGAGTTAGCTTTAAAAATGTTTAATTAACATAAGGGATAATACCGAATAAGTAGAAAATAGAGAAATTGCTTCTGTAAAAGAGAAAGTAACCTAACCTTGTTTTTTTTTATTTAAGAGTTGCAAATTCACTTTTTTATTATTATTCTTTTTTATTCTTTAATGAATTTCTCAAATAATGTACTTTTACGAAGAGTATCACAAAAATCTTTGTATGCATGTGAATATTTCAGGAAATGTTTCAAAGAACATCTGAAGAACTCTTTCCAAAGATGGAAAGCTCAGTTGAAGAGATGGATACCTCTGATACTCAGTGGGGCTGGTTTTATTTGGCTGAGTGTGGTAAATGGCATATGTTTCAGGTAATTACAAAGTTATATTACTTGTGACTTCTGTATGTCAAACAACCTATTGCTGAAAACATCTAAATGTACTTTTTCGTTTATTTTGAAGACTGATTCAAATAGTCATTGCTCAGTTAGCAGTGAAGATATTGAAAGGAGCTTCAGAACAAACCCATATGGTTCTGTTTCTTTTACTACTGCAAAATTTAACTACACACTAGACTTTTCAGGTATGTATATTCATAGGGTTAACTTAAATAACAAAGATGTCAGATACACCACTTCATTTGGTTTGAGTAGTATTCACAATTTTTGTCAACTCTTATAAATAACCCTTGATTCTGAGGCCAATATTTTGAGTTTTTTTTTTTTTTTTTAATCTAAGATGTTGATTTATTAATTGTTGAAATAGGAATTCTTTCAAGCAGCTTTTGGTGTAGTAATGTTGTTTGAAAAAAAAAAAAAAAAAACGGACTCTTAAATGTCCATATGCTATAGATGAAATCCAGAAACATTTATCCTAACTCTTGTTTCATGCTCAGAGATGAAGCAAACCAACCTAACTACCCTTAAACAACGTCCAATAAAGCGAGCTCCCTTTTCTATCAGTGCTTTCAGGTAAGGAAATAAAATGAAGCCTCCTGATTTTGATTTTAATCCTGATTTGGTTTTAATTCTGAGTTTTACAAAGTAAAATGAAACAAAAATATGTTTTATATGGACTGTCTATATTTATTTACTTTCTTCGTCAAACAATTTGAAAATGTGAGAAAGCTAGTCAAGTAAAAAAGGAAGAAATTTTAGAGGGAGAATAACAAAAGGTTTTATTTATTTATTTATTTATTTATTTATTTATTTATTTATTTTTTATTTATTTATTTATTGAGAAAATAAGGATCTTGTGGTGGGAGAGGCAAGACATAGTGAATACTGATATCCTTTTGCAAGCTGCTTAAATTTGTACCTGACTTCAGCTGTTGGATTCCCTTGTAATAAATAACCTTTTAAATCAGAATTGCTGACTGGAGAATTGGAGGAACAGCAGCAGAAAGAAATGGTGTAGTTTGTTCCAGTGTAACAATGACTTCCTAAATTAGTTAGAAGGAACATTGTGATGATGTAATGCTCTTCTGATGTAATCTGATAGTCAATAAAAACTAGCAGACTCAATGATAGTACTGCAGATAAAATTGACCATCTCTAATGTAGGTTACTTTTTCCAAATATTTCTTAAACAAAATCTCAATTCTGAATTAATATCTGAATTATTATCAGTTATTATTATAACTATTATAAAAGAACTTTGATATTTGTAATAAGAAATGTAGTAGCAATCACTTAACATTGGCATTTAGGATGGGCTGGGGTTTTTGTTGTTGTTGCTGTTGTTTGTTTGTTTTTTGAAGTGTCAGCTGTTTTTCACTTGGTGTTTGCTGAAGTGTACATGCAATAATCTTACAATTCAGTTTTTTATGCTTATTGAAGAATTTCCTTCAATACTTCTGATACTTCAATCAACATACTCTCTTTTCACATGCTGACATTATACTTTGAGATTGCTACATTTAGGTCTATTTTCAGGCCTAAAGTTGCTATGTACATGCTTAAAATACTTTTTTTTTCTTTTTTCTAATCTACTGTATTTTTCTAATATGTATATCTAACACGATGACTTCAGATTACTGGCGCAGTGAAGGCCCAGTTTTCAGAGTCTTAGACTAGTTTTAATTCTTGATACATTGAAATGTTCAGGCTATGTCTGCACTCATGTTTCTAGATTAGTGTTGCTCTCCTGATGTTGCAGATATCTTTGACTATTCCTTTTAATTTAACTTTGTATCTTTTGTTGGATAGATGATGTAATAACATTATTACCACTGTTTGTTTTGTAATAAACTAAGCCATAATTTGAACACAAGGTAAGTTCTTTACCTTTGACCTTACCTGCTGACAACAGGCTTTTTCAGAATTAAAGACTAAGTAGTTTTGTGTTAAGTGGTTGGGATTTTTGAGGGGGGACAGGGGGTGCATACTCTGCTGTTTGGAGAAAGAGTTCACAGGAAAATGTTTCTTGTCCTTGTCATGATGTGCTCTCACCATTTTTTTATTTGAAGTTTCATCTGTGAAAATGAGTCCATACCTATGCCTTCACACTGGGAGAATGTAAATCCTGAGGAGCCATATCAGGTAAGAGTTGGTGCAAGTTGGAAAAAAAATAATGAAATAGTACATCATGTTGTAATTGTGCTAACTTCTTTTTTTCCAGCTTATTCCTTTGCAAAAGAAAACAAATGAATACAGTGAAGTTTCTAGTCTCTTTGGAAAAACAATGGATAGCCACCGAATAAAAAGAATAAAGAGAATACAAAATCTAGACTTGTGGGAGTTTTTTTGCAGGTGAGATTATTTTTAAAACAAACAGTCTTAGGATTGTTAACAGAGCAAGGCATTCAGGAATAGAATGTTTAATTACTTTTATTATTATATAATTAAAATGTGTTACTTTTTTATTATTATATAATTAAAATGTGTTACTTTTGTTATTATATAATTAAAATGTGTTACTTTTTTATTTTTCTTTATTTCCTTATTTCTCAATCTCTGACCGTCTTGAAAACGGAACTTTGAAGACCAACTTTTTCAAGTGTAGAACTATAATGCAGTTATATAAGTATTACATATATATGTAGCACAGATGAAAGTGGAAAGGGGGTTGAAAGGGGATTGAAAAGGGATTGATGCCCTCTACTCAGCTCTTGTGAGGCCCCATCCAGAGTACCGCGTCCAGACCTGGGGCCACCA